AATAATGGCTATATCACCACTTTTGCTACTATTATTGAAAGACAAGGCTCCAATTGACCTCTAAAACATTATCAAAGCAGCACCCACTATCAATTTTATTGCTAGTGAAGTTACTAGGCGAATAATCTCTTGAAATAACGTCATTATCTATAAGACGTCTGACAAAATCCCCCGGAATCTGTGAAGCAGCTAACCCTCAAGTTAGACTCTATCGCCATAACTGAGAAACCATACATGATGGTTGTTGTTTCATAGATGTCTTGGTTTCTCTTTCAACTAATAAGATTATCGACATTGTTTTGAGTAGTTTGCAAGAATCGGTCTGGATATCAGGTAACATTCCGAATCATGGACTATTCCTGGAATACATATACGCAGCTGCTGATATTTCGGATAGTGCAAATGACGTTATCATACATCTGCGCTAAATTCGATCATAAGTTATTGCAAGAGATTTCAATCAACCTGGGACGAACTGCAGTATCGGTTGTTGTCAGTCATGTAGTGTTGAACTTGTTGCGGTATTGGCTCCTAACCATACAATCTTTAAAGCCGAGAATATAATTACTGAGGAAATTCACATTAAACATGTGACACTCGGAGAAAATTAAAAATAGTGAAGGCGGGAACGGCTGGTCAGTATTGCGCGTTACAGCCTTTTAAAGGTGGTCATTCTCTGTAACCCACGCCTTTTCACAATAAATATGTTACTTCACCCCCAGCCGAAATGTGTTCATAAGACGTTTTAGACGTTATATTGCTGAATGTCATGCAAGGGAAGTAAGTGTGGAAAAGCATGTGACTTCCAAGTAATATCTTATAAATTAAATGGTTACATCATGAAAAATTTACAATTTTGGAATGGGGTCTGTTACTAAAATAATGAAGACAAATGTACTAATACTGAATTTAATCATAAATCCACAAATTCATGGCAGCAAAATGACATGCTCTGCTGATCCTAATAGGTTTTTGCCCAATCAAGGCATGATGCTATACTTGATCTAATATTCTAAAAGATATCACGCTATCTACACCGAAACCAATACAAAAAGTCAGTCGGTAATAAAGTGTACGCATATGCCCTCAGGCTTGGATAAATCCCCACGTTATAGTCTCTTCAATGCTACTGACACATTATCTCTGATCACCAACTTATGTACGGATTCCTGCTCATCTCTTAGGATGTACAGGTTTAGAATGCCTAATGAGTTATTTACACCAGTAAAATATTGCTGTGAATTAAGACACCTGAAGAAACGTTGCTATAGGTCAGACGACTTCATGACAGTCGCCAAATTAAAGAAAAGCATAGGTTTGAAGCCATTAGTTAGGAGTTTTAAGTACTTAATAATAGTTGTACCTTTACATATCCAAAGCTTCGGACATGGCTAATCGCCAGACTCTCATAGGCAAACCCTCATCGTATGAATTCGAAAACTATCTGTTTGGTTGGTTTTAATTCTCTCCTCACTCAACAATACCAATTACTAAAAATTAACTCCTATTTATCGGATACTGTTCCGATAATAAAGATGCTCCTCTGATCGTTTTAGTTTATATAAATTTTATTTGCGGTTTCTTTGGCATAACCAAGCCTGTTTTATATCCAGATGATCTTAGTTTAGTAAATCATTTTCTCTTCATGAACTGAACAATACGCGAAATTGAATCAGTATAGAGCTAAACAACATAGTCCAGTTGTGCCTAAAATGATAGTTGTAGCTTGATACAGATAAACATAGATGGATATGCAAGTGCAATACTTCACTCAACCTAGATCTTTCCATAAATGGTAAGGTATTATCCGAGTCATATATAGTAGTGAACTCAGGATTCAGATAACCTTACAACTTGTCCTTCCCAGTACAAGTGCCGAAAAAGCCTTCGAAAGCTCACCGCCTTACAGGTTTCATAATCCTCTTACGCAACCATTCACGTGTTTTGATGTGCAAAGTACGTCTTCGACCACTCTTAGAATACTTTGCGTTTATTCCTAGTAGTGTTTGCATATATTATAAAAAGGCCTGGAATTCGTCCAGATATGGTTAATATTTCGCATTGTTAGAACTAATCATATTTTAAATTATAAATCCAGACGTAATAAACTTGGACTCGACTCTTTAAAGAGGCAGAGACTAAATCTAATTTTTTTCTTTGAAATACTTGATAAACCATATTTTACATCTGATGAAATCCTTGTCATTAATGGAATATTCTCGCTCTAACTATTTTCTTTATATGAATTACTTTACCCGTAAATTTCCCAGACTCTGGAATAATGTACTACAACCTATTTGTGAGATGAAGTCGCTCCCATCCCTTGTTCGATGCATCGATGTTTACTTATCTAAAAATATGCTTATACCTGTATGTATATTCCATTTCACAAGTGAGATTATTAGAACTTCGAATGCCGAGTCGTTTTTGTTACTAAGTAAACCACCATACGTGTTGTCACCTTACTTCAACATCATCCCAGATAACCTTAACAAGTCTGAATAATATCTGACACGAACAAAACATCATAAAATAACGTAGAGATGTTTTGGGGTAGAACTAATTGGCCATCTGTGGTGTTTGTATGAACTAACGATTCCTTCGCACTTATTGAATGCTTGATTTTGAATTCCATTTATGGTACATCCGTTAATTCTTATCTAGTACTTCTTGTTCCTACTGCGTTATTTCTGGGATTCTTAGTTCGTACTATAATTCAAATACTCCTAGTCATCATATCATCAGAGTAGTTATTGTTTTTGTTGATCCGTGACTTCTGCTTCTGTTTTAATTTCCCTAAATGTAGATGATTGTAATCAGTTGGTTATTGGGCAAGAGATGCAAAGTTCATAAATCAACTGGATCTTCACTTAGAAAAAATCAATACTTTTGATTGGTGTTTTTCACGGCTGTATTGCTTGTGAACAATGTAATGCCTATATCTTTCTTGGGCAAAAACACGTGGAACAATGTATTATCCAAAAAGTCTAATATATTTAACATTATTACCATCATCAAGCTGATCATGCCTATAAATAAGCATGATTTTTGTACTTGTTCTTGTCAGAACATATATAAATGTTGTCAACATCCACTCGATTTTCTACTGTTACCGTAAAGCCTTGAAATTCACAATACTTTTATTCTATATATTAAATACGTCTTTGCTTAGGTGTAACAGTTTTAATATTATTTCACCGTAAATGGTCGTTGTTGACTTCAGATGCAAACACTAGCAGGTATTCATAGTATCGATCAATTTTTCAAGTCTATACAAACTAACGTGCTCTAAGCCTCAGATGCCACACGCACTGAGATTTTCAGACGTTTTGAAAATATTTCTGCCATGATGATACCTCTCTCATGGTTCCTTCATAACTTCTTTAAATGATCAGACAGAAATAGCGGTTTTCACCAGGGCAATTTTTTTGAAATCATTTTACTTGAAGTGAACATTCGCATTAGCTGTTCGTACAATGTATTTTTCTTCAAAATCGAATACCATGCTTATTCGTTCCTCAGAAAACATCCTATTAGGATTACTCATCAGAACTCATTGTAGATAAGCAAAAGTTGAGTTACTGGTAACCCAAGTTATACGAACTATGGGAATATTCAGTAAGATTCATTATTTGCATTGTACAATACAAATACCGTGTGCGGGTTTACTGTGCGATAATTTTATCAACGAAGTAGAATGACCTTCAAGTTTACATATACAACCGTGACAGATTCCAGCCCTTCAGCATACATGGAGTACAAGTGATTTTAAATTCTCCGTGCCGACCACAAATTGAAAGACTTTGGACACTGCAGATGTGTATTAATTAGAAGTGAAAACTTGCATGTTCTAAAACTAAATGACATCACCATGTTATAACGCACATAAATTACAGTATATCCTAAATAGAACCAAAGAGGATCAAATTTATGCATGAGAAATGAGGTATTATCATGTGACGGTACTTTGACGAAATGAATAGACAACCTTGCAGTCTTTACTTCGACTACTAGATCAGCAGCGAATCCTTATCGGCAAAAATTGTGTAAGCAGCTTTCATAGGCATTTATTATGTATCATAAAATCTGCTGCATGAACCGTGATGTCAGTTAATCTGAACTAGTGGACGTAAGTTTCGAAAAAACGTGATTTCATGAAAGCCCACAGACATGTTCATTTTGTTTTGCGTCTTCAGGTAAAGTTACTCAGAGTACTATTTTGTCCTTCGGAAATACGTCTATTATTTGAGGATCCCGGTGCCAAAACGTTTACACTTTCTTTGAATTGCATCATATCCAGAGCAAATATTCTGACCGTAACAAGCTTGATAAGTTCTTCCCATCAGTCAACTGATGAAAATCACTGCTCAGAATAGCCAAGGTAGGGTTTTCTGTGTGACGATACAAGTTTGTACCGTTAGAAGCAAAGAAAACGATTATCGAGACTGAACAGACTTTCGAACATTGGAGGGCGACTAATGTTACTACAAAGACAGCCGCTTCACGAAACCTTTCGAACCCGAACTTCTTGATTACGTGGTAAATTATATTGAATCTTTCTGAGTCAATCGCGTTAACCTATATTTTATCATCTCACGTTGTGGAACGATGTCAATAAATGGCCAAAAACTATTCACATGCGAGTGAAAATAAGTAAATTTTTGTACGTGTCATTGAAGTTAGAGTGGTTTCGTTGAGACCCTCATGAAGCATGGTTTTCATACTCTAGCCATTTTTACGAACTTATTTAACCCTTGAGTTATAGAATGTGTTATGCTTACGTCATTTCTGTACTTATCATGATAAATTTTATCTTGTTATACCCTGCTCCTTCAAACCTATTCATTTGATGAATTCGAGAGAGTCCAATGTGAACTTAACATGATTACTTATGCTACCTTTGTATTGATATATGTGTCGGTGTTTCACTGCACTGTCGCTGAAGGTCGTGACGCCGTTGCGTTTTCGAGTTTTCATCTTTGGGCAATGAATGAATATTGATGCTCGATAGCCTTGTAGTGCCTAATAAGTCCAACGATGCCTTGAAAAATGATGCGAACAATAGGGATTCAATTTTTTGCGACTACTACTCGAATCGTCAAGGAAGTATGTCGAAATAATTTTTTTAATTGTCTAAAGGCTTTTCCAATCGCAGGTTGAGGGATTTTTCCAGTATTTCGGAAACTTTAAAGTTTGTAGAGCATTTGGATTTATCTCGAAACTTCATCACAAATATTCCGAGTGGAATCGAACAATATAGATTGCTTACAACTTTGGATTTAAGGTATTTCAATTTTTTATTTCAGCATTGTAATTCAGTTTCAACAAAATTTTTTCTGTCCCAAATTCGCTATGCAAACTACCGAGCCTTCGGATTTTGTTAATGTCTAACAACTATTTGTCTTCTCTTCCTGCGAATATTTGTGAACTTCAAAACTTGCAAGAGCTGGTAATTCCCCTCATAAATGTCGAACTACATTTCAGGATTTGTCATTCAACAGGTTTAAACACTTTCCTTCTTCGATTTGCTCACTTCACAGTTTAAAAGTTTTACTATTAGGATGTAACCTGATTGAAACGCTTCCAGAAGGTATGTTCGTTTGAAGTATGCACTTCGAATTATGGTAATTCGGAGACGTATAACTTTTTAGCGCACATTGCATCTCTTTTATGTTTACCAGTTTTTAAGTTTTTGTTTAGAATATATATATGGCCTATAGGTCATTTAAATATTTTCCAACGCTGATATACGGTGTCTTTGCTTGTAATTAATGCTTTCATGACAATTTACGAAATTTACTGATACCAACAAAATATCTGATGGTTCATAATTGATACATTAGCAATGCATTTTTGTGATGGAATGTCATCAGTATATTTTGTCACTCCAGAAACTAGATTTTAACTCATTTTTATGGTGACCACCTCATCTTCTGGTCAATATGACAGTGTAATAGTATTTTAAAACTGAAGGTCTATGGTATTCTTTGTTGTATCATATCATTTTCAGGTTACCTTCCTTTTTTAGAATACCTTTGCAGTTATAACAAGTTTAGTAGTTCCGCATAATGGGAATACTATGAACGTAAACTTTAAACCAGATTAAAGGTAGAGCTATTGTTTTCTCTGTTTGAAACATTTTCTAAAAATTAGTGATTACAAATATTATTAATTTCATTTGTTGAAAATTTGACATCAAAACAGCCTGATTCATCAATCGTTAATTTTAACCACTGAAAAGATAGAATTTCACTATCCTTTGGCCAATCAAAAGACGTCAAATACATAGTTCTCTGTTTCTGAATTACCCTCGTTTTACTCTATTGACTTTTTATTAATTGAAGGAAGGCAAAGTAATGTCGGACATAAATCTGCTGCTAAGACATTGCTATACCAAAGCTAAAAGGTCGTGAATTCTTCGACATAATTTGTTTTTATTAACTTTACTATTATCTTGTCATTAAGGAGTGCGTAATGTATTGAAATAGTATTTTTTTAAACTACCCATTATTGTTTTCCCTTGTAAGAAGCGTTGTTGCGCCACTTGAAGTTATCATTTATATCCGTGTCACTTGCCCCTTAAGTAAATGGCTAAAATATTATGATCTTCACTTATCACTATACCAGAGCAACTAACGACAATCTTCATAAATCTGATTCTACATAGTAAGCATCATGAACTTGTCATTAAATACCAGCTTTTTAGTTGATGGACGGAATTCATTGTAGTGCATGTACTGACATTAGTTGGCAATCATCTTTTTTCTGACTAATTGGTTGACATTTATTGCGCTTCAGGTTTTCTTCCCGTTCCATTATAGATAGTAATAATGGCGTTCTTTCTGTAAAATAGTGGATGATGTGTCACTAGCCGTGATATCGATGTGTATCCGAATCATTGTTAAGTTCAGGGCTATTTGTTAACAAGTTTGATTTCATTTTTCAGTTGAGTATTGCTAAGTATCTGTAGCAATCAACCTCTGTTACCCCACCCAGCAGAGTCACATCTGCGGATAATAGGCGAAATTCTGTTGAGACTAAATCTCTTTGATAATAAGTCGTGAGTTATCTACGGTTGTGCATCTGTTGGTGCTATTCACATACATGCTTTGTGTATGAAATCAGATATCATATTATAAAATATAATTGTCTTTAGGGGCTCAGAACTCATATATTAACAAGGAGAATTCCGTAGTAACCTTTTATTTTTATATTTTCTATTTATATACATTCATAAATTATAATTTGGTCTTTTTGTACTTCAAATTTTAGACATAGTTGGTCTTCGTTGTTTGAAGATTTTGGACTTGCATTCAAACGGAGTAAAGCAACTACCTTTGAGCATTAGATTTATGTGGTGTTTAGAGAGGTTATCTCTAGAGGAAAATCCCCTATCCCCTCCCCTTTTAACTGTGAGTCTTATTAGTGAGCATGCTCAAACACATTAGTTTTTTTGAGAGGTTTATTGTGAACATATTCATCAGTTATCAACTTCACAACCCGATTTGATTCCATTCCAATAATTTAAAACAGTATGAGGTACATGAACTTAACAGTAGTGGTTTTGGTATGATGTAGAAGAATCATATCACTCTTAGATTTAATAAATAGTTAAATAGTCAATATTTTCTTCTCATTCTTACGTAATTTTTATTAACAGTCAGCAAACTGATAAAACTTCCAAACTCTTCTGATAATTCGATTATAAGATTTTTTTTAAAATAACAGATTGTCACCAACTAATGATGATGTTTTTATTCTAATTATTATTTGATTAAGATTTTGTTTACTTTACTGTTAAACATATTTATCAAGAAGGTCAGATTAACGACTCAAAGTAAACTATTTCTAATCATTATACACGAATATTTAAGTTTATTCGAATTTTGAACGGGAAATTTGATGCAACAATGGAAATGATGACGTTAGAAGTTATTTTATGGAGGACTGTTTTTAATCTAAGTTTCTGCACGTTAATCCATACTCTTTAGTGTATGAAATGTTTGTAGTAATGAATGAAAGCGAATATAACATCCGTTGTTTAACAAGGAAATGAAGCCTTGGTTAGAAGGATGTTATTAGGATGATAGTGATATTTAGTAGAAAAATCGAAATCTTCTCTTATGGAATAATATAAGTTTTTTTATGTGGAAACAGCATTCATTAGAAATTTCTATACTACTAACATTGAAGTGATGATTTAGTAGTCTTAGCACTTTGTTTTCAGTCATGTAGTAATTCCTTGACTTAAACCCTAATTCACCTAATTTAGAGTTTGATCAGTTCATCAGTATGTCACAAGGATTCATAAAAAAGTATAAATCAAATCTTGATACAGTCAGTTTCTCGTTTTATATTAATAATCATTCATCAATTTCACATTTTAAGTTATTTCGATCTGGGACTTATTTATTTTCACCAGTTGGTAATATTAGCATTAATCTTCGCTTACTCATGAATAATTTAAGCAAGATAGATTATAAGCTTGAAAATATATTTGCTCATCAACTAACCATTAAGTGTTTTCTACTTGATAGTTAGAGCTTAATGTCATTTACTATGACGAATGGGAAATCACATTTATCATATTTCATTACAATTATTCCCTGATTGTGTAACATTTTATGGATCTTATTTATTTTTCAAGAGACATATACCTTTCTTTATTTAAAAAAATAACAGATTGTTGCTCGTGGGATCCCATACATATTTGCATTTTTAAATCAACAAGCTTTATGCAATTCTAATAATACAAGTTGCGAAAAATTTCATGATTCGTTAACTCAATCGTCTTCTGCTCAGGTAACAAATACTTCAAATCAACAGAATATGATGAAACTTTCTGAAAGTCAGGATGTGAAATCAAACTCTTCTAGTCCATGTTTTGAGAAAACCGAGGTAAATACGGATTCTGACCAAAGATACATATCGAAATCTGAAATTACAAAGTAAGTTTACCCTTCATATATATATTTAAATAGATCGTTTTATCACTATTTTTCCAAGGCCTTAAACAATTTGTTAAGTAGTGGTTTTTAGTCTATATGATATCACTTTTTTCGAAACAAAGACTCTAATAGACCATAGACGTCCTTTCTCATGCCCCAAGATAGATGTATTTACTGTTTGTTTTCTAAATATTGAATATCCTCTTTCTTTATATTCATGATTCTTCCTCAAGTGGGTTTCTTTTCGTTTTATTTTACTATTCTTCGATTTCTCCTAATCTTGTCTTCGTCTATTATTTTGATAAGTACGATAAATTGAAAAGATACTTTTTTAAATTGAATCTCTACATTTTCATATCAGGCAATGTAAATCGGAAAGAGGGAAAGAAAGAGAAAAGAAACTGGACTATTATTTTGTCATAGTCTATGATATCTCGTTTGTTCATACCAACTATCAACTAGGATGTTAAAGTCTTGTAATGAGCTCTATAAAACTAAATTACCTGCTTTGTATTTTCTAGGTTCAGTGTTTTATAGTTTATAATGATTTTTAAGTTTATATATATGCCATTGCCATGTATATGAACATTCTCAGCCCTATTCTTAAATTATTAAAACAATAAAAATACATAAGAATCTATTTTTGTAATAAAATGAACATTAAAATAGAGTATAATGAATAATAAAATTACTATTTATTTAAAATGCAAAATTAAGAAGACAAATTTTGTCAGTGTTAATGCATATACTTTTATCGATCTGGTTTATGTAAATTACTAAAAAATTACAGATGTTTGTTTTTTTTGTCACTATGTGCTCTATCAATTATAACTACAGTGTTTCAAATTAGCGTATGTACATATATGCAAATACAGATAAACTTTATTCTCTCTCTCTCTCTTTCTCTCTCTCTCTCTCTCTCTCTCTATATATATATATATATATATATATATATATAGTGTATGTAAACACATGTCAGTGTACGTGTTTATGTCCAAATGCATATTTTTTGTTTGTATTACTTCTATTTAAATCCAACGAACTCTTTCTTATATTCTATGAAGTACAAATACGTTATTAATCTTCATTATTGAAGAAAGAATAATTTATTATTGTTGAGAATATTTCTTTTCGAATATTGATTTTTAGTTAGTCCAATATTCAATATTTAAGTTCATATGTATTCCATTTTTATTCGGATACTACTTAAATAATAAGTGAATAATTTATTTAGTTAGTGTATAGCGATAAAAATGGAGAATAAATGAAAAAATTCAATCCTTGGTTGTGTAAACATTATTCTCTATTTCAAATTAGATTACACTCGAATGACTGGTGTTAGTAGAGTTAAGTTTTAGCAAAGTAAATAATTAAGATCAATGTATCATGTATTTGAGTTGAATCTGTTATATCTTAACGAGAATAAGGAATGATAACTGTTGGGATCTATTTACAATTTTATAATACGCAAATATTCTTATTGTATAACTGTTGAGTAACTAGATTATGTATATTTATATTCCTCTTATTATAAGCTTTATTTTGACGTATAGACTATTATTATACAACTTACTATTCCTAAATTATGCCCAGTTAATTAATAACAGTCTCCCACAATCGCGATCAGCTTTTGGTTTGATTTTGTACAAATGTTATTTCTTATTTCATAGTGTGATGTTGTCTGTTTGGCTTGTATATAAACCAGATATGTTTGAAATAAATGATTCGTATAGTGGAAGCTGGTATTAGTGTTCTAGACTCAACTGGAAGAGCTAGGAAGAAAATGACCAATAAAGACGATAGGCTGCTTATACCAGTCGATACGTCATTTTTTGGCATAGTGTTAAGATTGTGCAAGTCGTGTTCCGATTCACGAATAAGTCATGTGATAAATAGCGGGGCGTAAAGTCACAACAGAATCTGTTAGGATAAATTATGTTACTTGTTTAAATTGACTTTAGTTCCTATCATACAAATATTTCCTAGAATATTTATCTTTTTTGAGGAGACGAGGCTGAGAGATTAAGGACATTTTCATACTTGAATTTCATAAGCTAATTTAATAGTTATTACTGTTAGTTGAAGATAATTCAGTGTAGTTGGTAATGAGAATTTATTTAAAAGATATTTTCATTTATCATAGTACCTATTTAGTAAAAAGAACTTTAACTATTACTTCAAATCATAACGATTGTTAGTGTTAAAAATTATAATGACAATCAGTTATTTGACAAAATCAGGTACATTAGTTTTATATTAATTCATGAATGTGTCGCTAATTTCTGAGTGTACATTAGTTGAATTACTGGATGCAGTTGTTGCATTTCAATATTCCAGTGACTTTATGTAGTGTGTAATTTTATTTGTAAGATACTTCTGTTTGCCCGTGATGCTTCATCGTAAATCTTTCAGATCACTTTATTATTCTTTAGGCCGAGTTAGTCACTTAAAGTTTTCTTATCTAATACGTGATTTGATTCTTAAAGACACCAAGTAAATTATACTTGAACCATCATTTTACTCACTGCTTTCAAATATTTAAGATGTTATTTATTTATTATTATTTATTTAAACAAATAAATATTGGTACAAAAGGGCACCAAATACACATATGCCACACAAGTCACTTGATTTATGTGTGGGCTGTAATACTGCCCGGATGCCCAGACCGAAGCAAGTGGTTTTCTTAGGGGGTCACGCCCGGAGCCTTCCACCTTAAACTCTGATCCACAAGGCAGTGGAGATACAGTCCCATAGTAGTCGGTGACCAACCATTGGTTCATATGCCATTTGTTCCTTCAGTATATTGGAGCCCACGTGGATCATTTTATTTGGGATCAGGGTTTTCCAACTCCCCTAGGTGGACCCATCGTTTCCGCCAAGCTGGTTAAAGCGCTGGACATTCGCTTTTCATCCTCTCAATTTTGCAGACAACACCGGTGCCGCGAGAAAGCAGTGAGTAGGACTTTACTGACAGTGGCTGTACACGTGTGACCATGTGAAAGCATTTCAAGAGGGAGAGCTGACTTTCCCCACTCTCGGCCAGACCAGGGCATCTGGGGGCATTTAAGTTGTTGTTAGCATCCATAGTTGAGTGATTTTATCTTCACCCTTCAGAGTTAACACTCAGTTAAATGTTTTAGCTAATATCAGTATAAGGGTTGTGGAGATTGTTAAGTTTTTGATTGAGATCATGAACCGATTAATGCTAGACCACCATTGAAAACCTTGAAGCACTGAACGGCCGTTTCGTCCAATTGTGGAACTCCTCAGCAGTGCGCATCCTTGATCTTGCTCGCGGGATTCGAACCCAGGGCCTTCAATGGTGGTCTAACATCGATCGATTCATGATCTCAATCAAAAAGTTTTAGCTAATAATTTGAAGCCTTAACAACTCTACTCTATCAGTTATTTTAACTGATCTCATTAAAATTAAACATTTATTCCAATCACATAACCATATTATTATATTTATTTTGTTGTGTTTTTGAAAAAAAATAATAAAACTGAATAAAATATCCTACTCAAAGTCCTTCGTTGACAATTCAAAACTTTACTTATTCAACAACAAATAACAAGAATGAACAATTTGATAAACCAAATGCTAAACTACACTCAAATGACTATAATTGTATTGAGAATTTTAGTCATAATGTATCAACACAATCTTGTATAAATGAAACATTGAAATCTGGATCGTCATTTAGTTCTTTATCAACTGATGATAATGAATCACTAACAATGAATATGTATTCTTCTGCTTATGAGGTATGTTATATTATACTGATATAAATTTAAATTTTTATGTATATTTTTACAGAGTCATCAGCTGATTGAAAACAATTAACATAAATGTTTGAGAAAACTGTTGCAAAATCTGTACAGCGTTTCTAAGCTAAAAATAGTTATGTAACCGATGTTATGCTTTTTGTTAGATAATGCTGATCGAATACCATCTATCAGATTAATAGTACAAATGGCTTGATATCAGCAGGAATCTGATTATCTTCAACCACATAACATGAAAAATAGGTTCAGTATTAATGTATTCATTTAGTTTGGTGGTAACGTTTCGAATTAATCTTTATCATTCACTTGGAAGTACGGATTAGAAAAATGACATAGGCTAGTATTCAGTATGAATTGATTACTTTGACAGGTCTGTTGGGGCTGAAATAACCTAATGGTAATGTCTCTGACATTATGTGGTATAATTTCGAACCTAATGGTAGGGATTATGTAAGTCATATAATAGCTGTATTACTTATTATCCATTTCTATTTATAAATGAACAATAATTACTGATATACGTTTCATCATAAGGTTTGCTTTTATTCTATCAAACAGTTCATCTTCTACTATTTCAAACTCTATCTTTCCGTTTCTACCATATTCTCACAATCAACACTACTATTTTGTTGTCCCACCCATTAAATAACTTTATCCAACAGACTCAATCTGTAGTTAGTTTTAATTAACTGGACTGAATCTAGATGATTTGTTAAATTAGGAGTTTCGTTTTTCTTTTTATTTAAGGATAACAATTCAATCATTGTGTATACTTCTTCATTGCATACTACTACTATTGCTTGTTAATCGATTGAGAATTGTACCAAGTAGAAAATTCACTCTAGAAGACATTAGGAAATTAACATTGATTGTATCAATAGTTCATTTACATTCTATTCTATATATGATTAAGCAGTGAAGTTGATTTGAATAACTTTCTTTTAATGTATGTATTTACATTATGTTTACAAACAAACAAGCAAACAAACAAAGAGATAAATACTTAAATATGTATATACATCATCGTTAACAGACAAATGGGTTAGAATTTGTCTATACCTTAGGAATTATTTGTAAAATCCGCCCATTTTTTTGTATATATCTCATACAATACATTGAACTTTTGACCAAAACAGTTTAAATTATAACCCTATAGATTCACAATCAAAAAATATTTTTACACAACGGCTATATTATCAGTATTATTATTTCCTATTACCAAAAACAAAAATTAATGAAGAAAAATTTATCATCTAGTAACTAGGTTACTTATATTCCACTAGTCGAATGTTAGTTGAATGGGCATGGAAACAGTATTATTCAGTTTGTTTTAGAAATTAAACATTGAATAAATTGATTTATTATTACAATTTATTATTTTAATTTATATAAAGTGCTAACTTATTTCTCTTTATAAAATAAGAATAATAACTATAGAAATGAAGGAATTACTTCGATTACAAGTTGGCGTTAAGAAACAAAAAAATGTAATTCATTTTTGATTAAAATTAAACATTTGTTAATTATGAAAAGAGGATAAGAATCAACCACTACATTGAATCATGCACTTTAAATGTGAATTAGATACTATCTATCAAAACATGTGATGTTGTAGTTATTTATGGTGTATGGAAGAAAATTGATGAAATCTTTGAATAATCTTGAATGATTGTATTCATCTGTTTAAGTTAGTGAAATTTAGTAGTGTTTTTAGCAAAGTTGTATGGTAAATATTTTCAAGTACATTTTTACAAAAAAGGATAGAATTTAACTGTATTAGTTATAATATTATGTGTATAAACGTAGCCAATGTAACAAATGTACTGATTTGTATAGATTCAATTAATTGTATATACTACTGATACTTTTTGTTTGTTGAAATCATAGTAGGTGGGACTTTGTTTAGCTTTATATAAATAGTAGAATGAATTTCTGAACACAATTATTTGAATGTGTCCTTTTTTGGCTAGATATAATGTGCATAATAGAAATATACTTAATCTGAGCAAAAATATATCATCTTTTGGAGATTGATGATATCACTTAAATTTAGGCGTATTATCTGCCATTTAATTAATCCTAATATTGAAAAGTGTATCTATGCCTAGATACAATGAAAATGAACAATTAATACATTACATTATTGAATTGAATTATTCTAAGTGCAGTTTAGGTGCTTTGATGAAAACATATTCTATAAAAATAATGATTTATATCACTTTATCATAATAACCATCGTTTCAGCTATTGTTTAATCCGTTATTCAGTTTCCAATTCATTTTACAAGTGTTCCAGATGTTGTTTTGAATACATGTTAATTAAAACCTTTATACATAGTTGTATTGTTTACACCTACATAACATCTTGTATTGACTTTGGTATTTTTTTTAAAATAGTTTGTTTGAACTGTTATTGAAGGCTGACTATAATGCCCTGGTACGGCTGAGAGTGGGGAAAGTCCACTCTCCCTCTCAAAATGCTCTCACATGGCCACGTGCATACAACCACTGCCACGGAAGTCCTACTCACCACCTTCAATTGACGGGGATGCTGTTTAGAAAATTCCGAGGGCAAAAAGTGAATGTCTAGCGCTTCAACCCGGTTGGTGGACACGCAGAGTCCTCTTAGGGGAGTTGGAAAACCCTGATTCCAAACCAATGGTGCACATAGGCCCCATTACCCTGAGGGAAAAATGGCGTATGAAACTCCACTTATGGCTCTTCCAGAGTTACTGCCGGTCCCAAGCCCGGGCAAAGGAGGAGGGTTGGGCATGTGGTTAGTGGCCCCATCACGTAGAAAACTAACTCGCTAAAAAACGCTAACCAGAAAAAATAATTCAAACCATTTAAACTCTGCCCTGGGAGTTAGAAGGTCTTCATTTAGAAAAATATGACGCCTCATGGTGAAAGCTGAGTTCCTGCGGAAGCCACGAGGCTGATGCCCCTTCTAACAACCACAGCAACAATTTTTATAGGTACATGGAACGTCCAAACAGTGTGGGGGACCGGTAAGACCAGTCAAATAGCAACGGAAATGCGGAGGTACAACTTGGCAGTACTGGGAATCAGCGAAACCCACTGGACCCAAGCTGGACAGAAAAGGCTAGCTACGGGAGAGATGCTGCTATACTCCGGTCACGAAGAGGACAATGCTCCACACACTCAGGGAGTCGCTCTAATGCTGTTCAAAGTAGCACAAAATGCACTTGTAGAATGGGAATCTCACGGATCCAGAATCATCAAACCATCATTCAAAACAAAGAAGGAGGGTATCACAATGAATATTATCCAATGTTATGCACCCACCAATGATAGCAACGACGACATTAAAGATCAACTGTACGAGCGGCTGCAGTCAATCATAGAAAAATGCCCAAGAAAGGACCTCACCATCCTGATGGGAGATCTAAACGCCAAAGTCAGGATAGACAACACCGGATATGAAGATATAATTGAACAACATGGATTGACTGGGAGAGAGAAACGGAAATGAGGGGAGATTTGCAAATCTGTGTGCATTCAACAAATTGGTCATAGGAGGCACAATATTTCCACACAAACGTATACACAAAGCTACATGGAGCTCAGCGGACCACACCAGATAGATCATATTTGCATCAATAAAAAATTCCGAAGGACAATGGAAGATGTGAGAAGCATGAGAGGAGCTGACATAGCTTCAGATCACCACCTAGTTGTGGCCAATCTAAAACTAAAGCTAAAGAAGAACTGGACAACTGGACAAACAGCACTACAGAGGTTCAATACAGCCTTCCTTCGACATACTGACAAACTCAACGAATTCAAGATAGCTCTCAACATCAGGTTGCAAGCCTTACAGGATCTACTGAAGGGAGAAGAAACTTCTATGGAGGACAACTGGAAAGATATCAAAGAAGCATTAACTTCAACGTGTCAAGAGGTTCAGTTCTGGGTCTGAAGAAGCATCATCATAAGGAATGGATCTGTATAGAAACACTGGACAGGATGAAAGAAAGGAGGAACAGGACGATAGCAATTGACAACATCCGAACACGAACAGAGAAAGTCCAAACACAAGCTGAGTACATAGAAGCAAACAAGCAAGTGAAGAAGAGCATTAGAGTCGACAAGCAGAAATACGTGGAACAACTTGAAAAGACGGCGGAAAAAGCTGCAAGAGAAGGAAATATGAAACAGCTTTAAGATACAACGAAGAAACTAACAGGGAAATATAGTAAACCAGAGAGATCAGTCAAGGACAAATAAGGCAGGCCAATCACTGAAATTCAACAACAGCGGAACAGATGGGTAGAGTACTTCGAGGAACTCCTGAATAGGCCGGCTCCAATGAATCCACCGGACATCGAAGCAACACACACAGATCTTCCTATAGATGTCAATCCACTAACGACGGAAGAAATCAGAATGGCCGGTCATCAGACAAATCAAGAGCGGGAAAGCAGTAGGACCCGACAACATACCAGCTAAAGCACTGAAATCAGACATCGAAGCAACCACAAGCATGCTTTATCTTCTATTCAAAAAGATTTGGGAGGAGGAACAAGTGTCAATCAACTGGAAAGAAGGACACCTCATCAAGATTCCAAAGAAAGGAGATCTGAGCAAATGTGAAAACTACAGAGGCATTACACTACTGTCAATACCAGGGAAAGTCTTTAACAGAGTGTTGCTGAACCGGATGAAAGATGCAGTAGACGTCCAACTTCGAGATCAACAAGCTGGATTCCGTAAGGATCGGTCGTGCACAGACCAAATTGCGACACCACGGATCATCGTCGAACAATCAGTTGAGTGGAACTCATCATTATACGTCAACTTCATTGATTATGAAAAGGCATTTGACAGTGTAGATAGGAGGACATTATGGAAACTTCTTCGACACTACGGAGTTCCTGAGAAGATTGTCAATATTATCCGGAACTCATACGACGGACTACAGTGCAAAGTAGTGCATGGACGACAGCTGACAGATGCATT